AAATTTTTTTGACCATGGAGAGACAGATACAGTAAAAGAATGAGACTTTGCTAAATGATGCATCAATCGAGAATGAGTTTTAATTGATGGAACTAGAGATGATTTTTACAATGATGAGAAAGAAGCTCAAGCTTAGCAGATAGCAGCAGGTTAAACTACATTTACAATACTTTTTTGGACCTAAAAGAGAAAGAGTATCATTAAAAGAACCATCCCAAATATGATAACAATATTCCATGCAGGGACAAATAAGAAATGTATAGAGGTAGAAAATGGAATCAGTAGAGAGAAAATGGTGAACATCACAAAATGAAGCAACCTTAACGGATGCTAATTTAGGAATCGATTGTATATATGGTTTCAATGAAAGGTCAGTAGTAAACGATATTCAAAGAAGACGTAAAGAAGAGAAATCAGTGAGAGGGTTGCCATTCATTAATATAGGAATGTTAACAGTACTGCGATAGTTGTTTGCAATAAATAACTGAATCAGTGAGATCGGATTCAAGATCAGCTGCCTGTTAAGCAATTGAAAAGAGAAGAATTTTTGTCAAGTTAGCAGGCTTGGACAGGAATGGCGTGCAATCGAGCGCTATTGCTGACCATGCAAATGATTTTATTTTTCGACAACTTGACCACAGTTGTTTAATAAACAATGTTTATATATTTGATGAGTTAAAAATTTCAGAAATGTTCTGAATGTAGAAACGCTAAGCTAAACTTAAACTAGGAAAAAAAATAAAAAAAAAGACTAACGAAAAAAAAATTCCTAATGAAAAATGAAACAAAAAATAAATTCATAACGAAAAAGAAATTATATAAGCACTAAAATGAAAATAAAAACTTAAACTCGAAGCAAAACTTTTTGTTACGTTTTTAATTTTGCATGAAATAAACGTTATTAAAGCTTATCTTTTGAAGCATTATTAAAGTTATGCAACACGTTTTTAAATTAAGTAACAAATTACTACTAATGATTGGTTTAATAAAAGAAAAAATTTTATTAAATTTATTAAAAAGTGTTTTACATAATATTTTTAAATTGTATAAACATTTATTTTGTCAAAAAAATTGCAAAAAAAAAAATTGTTCAAAAAAATAACGTAGTTTTTTTAAAATAGTAATTTTTACTAATTTCATGCTCTAATTAGTGAGTCTAATAAAAAAAAAAGGTTTTAAACATTTTTATTTGTAAAAATAGAAAAAAATGAATAAATGAATAAAATGTGCCTGCGATTTAAATAAAATCAACTGCCAACAAGCTTTTTAATTTAATTTTAATTTGAGCATTACAACTTTATTAATAAGCGCTTGGCGTAATGAATTTAAAAATTATTTTAAAAGATTTAATCTTATTCATTTCTTACAAAATTTGAAACAAAAAAAAAAATTGTTTACAAAAAGTAAAATGTTTATTTAAAACATTAAAAAAAATCGTAAGTTTAATCATAAAAATTAATCTTATGAACATTACAAAATGCTTTAAAACTTTTTCATTAAATCAATAAAATACATTCTTATATAAGTAAATAAAGTTATTTTTTATTCTTGTGTAATTCCCATAAAATGTGTAAAAGTTGGTAGTCACAAAAGCTTTTGAACTTATTCACAAATTAAAGTAACTTGAAAAAATTCTTTCTGAAAATAATGGTTTAAAAATGTTTTAGGAAGACACAAGAATATAGTTTCAAATGTTTAAATTTATCTTGAAAAATAAATGCCTACATAAAAAAAACTTTTTTTATGTAGGCATTATCCACAAGCATTTATGTAAACAATAACTATAATTAATTTTATGGTTTTATTTAAAGCCTTTGTGTAAAATAAAAAACTTAAGAAATGATCATTGATTAAAAGATATTTATAACGTAACACTTTTTTTATTGCATTCAAATTGTTAAAACATCAAAATAGCCGTGGTCAAGTTGTAAAGTAATAAAAATATTAGCGTGGTCAGTTACAGAGTGTGATCACACGCCATTCCTGTCCAAGCTTTTAGGCCAAGAGTTAGGAGTATAAAGTTGAGTCATCAGCAAAAAGAGTTACTTTAGATGTAAGGTTGTCGGAAAGATCATTATTGTAGATAGGAAACAAAACAGGACCAAGGATAGAACCTTGAGGTGTATCCCAGAAGTTACTGGAAATGAAAAAGAGCAATGGCTTTTGAGGATGACTTTAGAAGCTGTTAGAAGGAAGCGATTTGATAATTTAAAAATCTTTTCTAGATACACCATATGAAACAAGCTTATAAGGAAGACCAGCATGCCAAACTTTGTCAAAAGCCTCAGATACGTCAAGAGCAATAGCCCTAGTCTCTCCGCCTTCATCTAATGCACAATAAAATCTTTCAGTCACAGCAGTCAGTTGTAGAGTAAGAGTATCGAAAACCGTATTGACTGTACAATTTACTAAAATAAATTATTGATCAAGATATTAAAAAATATTTTTTCAGCATTTTTGTAATTTCACCATTTTATTTCTGTTTCTAAACCTAATATTATTCTTATAATTCTGCTTAGTTTTTTTTTAATATTTTTTTTTGTTTAATGAATGATGTGATTTTTTTTTTGATAATTTAAATTACAGATGGTTTTTCTTTTTTTAATAAAATTTTTGTATAAAACTTTTTTGTAGCAGTTCACATAGAGTTTCAGTTCTCAGATGTCACTTTTAAAAAAATATAAAGTTTAACTAAACTTTCAGTTATGTAATGATATGTTTGTCTGGCAGTACGGGAAGACTTGTTTTAGCTAAGGGCAGCTCAAATTTAGAAAAAAATTGTGTCGTTTGACTGGCAGGGTGACTGTTTTTCAGAAAATATTACTTAATAATAAAACTAAATTTTGAACTATAAAGATTTTATTGTTTTAAAGAAACATTTTTTTTTCAACATCTTCACTTCCAACAAAGCTACAAGCAACCATTATTAGAGTTAAAAGTTACTGGATGAGAAAAGATAAAGTTTATAGAGCATTTATAGAAAGTTTATAGAAAAGAGAAAGAGAAGCAACATTACGATGTGTGGTAATAGTTGGTAGTTGACTACAAGAGCAGGTCCAACTACATTTACTATACATTTTCCACCCTTTTCAAAAAAAGAAAAGGCATCATTGGAAGATCTGCCCCAGATATAGCAGCAGTATTCCATACAAGGCGGATTTGAGATTTATAGAGATAAAGAATGTAATCAAGAGTAAGAAAGTAGCAAGCACAATAAAAAGAAGCAACCTTAGCAGATGCTAATTTTGCAATTGATTTGATATATAGTTTCCATAAAAGATCGGAAGTAAGAGTTAATCCTAGAAGATAAAGGGTAGATGACTCATTGAGTACATCATAATTGAGTTCATAAATATAGGAAGATCTAGATTATTGCGATAAAGATTGACTGAAAAAAATTTATCTGAGTTAAAGTTCACCAGCCATTGAGAGCCCCATGATTTAGCAGAAGTGAGATCCTTTTCAAGCTTGAATGACCCTCCAAGCAATCAAAGAGTGTTAACTTCTTATCAAGACAAGAATAAATGATAGTATCATCAGCAAACAATGCAACCTCGGATGTGAGAATTTGTGGAAGATTGTTAATGTGAATTGTGAAAATGTGAAAAAAGAGTATAGAGCCAAGGATAGAACCTTGAGGAACCCCTGAAGTGACAGGATATGAAGAAGAGTGCTGTCCATCAAGGACAACGTTTATACTACGATTGGTAAGGAAGGATCCAATAATCTTAATAGTGTTACCTGATACACCGTATCTGATATACCTGATACACCGTATATACCAGAAAGCTCATGGGTAAGACCAACATGCCAAAAATTTTATTAAACACTTGTAACAGGCCTTCTCGTAAGAGGCGTGCGATCGCACGTCTTATATGACCACGGATATAGTTCTTTGTTTTAACTACTTGACCTCGGCTCATTGCAAGTTTTGATAATTAGCATTTAGAAATTGCGCTAAAAAAAAACAAAGCAAATTAGAATAAACAATCCATAAACTGAAAAAAGAATAAAATCCTTAAAATAAGATGTATAACAAAAATTACCCTAAAAAAGTAAAATATTTAAAGAATGATAAAAAAAATAAAGAAATAACCAGAAAAAAAAATCAAAACATTTATTAATTAATTTAAACTTAATTGGAAACAAAAGTGAAAAAATCACAGCTCTAATAATCTTTATCATTCCTTCCCATGAATAAATAGGCTGATACAAGGGCGGATCCATAGTGAGGGAAAGGGTTATGAAATTTAATAAACTAATGTGGTGGAAATATAAAATTTTATTAAAAAGTTAATAGGATACAGGGTGCAAAACAAATGCATTACTTCAGCAATTTTTTCAAAATAATTTTGCGATCAATAGTTTTTTATTTATTACAAAAAACACATATTTAAAATGAAAAACAATTAATTACAGAGACTTTTTTTAAACAAATGCCAAAACATAATTACTTTTTTTCAATAGCGTCACTTTTAAGTAAAATAAAAATAAAAAAGTAATTATGTTTTAGCATAGTTTTTGAATGCGCTCACAAAAGTATCCATAATTTTACTTAAAATGAATGCTTTTCCAAAAACTTCAAAAGAAACCGTCCTTAAACAATTCAATTGTTTTCTTTTATCAAAGAAAGCGATCATGTTTAACCTTGGTTTCTTTTCTGTTTTTAGCAATTACATTAAAAGTTTAAAAAATTTCATTATAAATAAAATTGTGCATGCTTTTTTTTTTTTTTTCTTATTTTTTGTTTGACATAAATCTCTTAAATTTTTTTTTTTTTTTTAATTATTCACCTCCCCAAGGCCCGAGGGGGCTACAAAAGTCGTGGAGGCTACTCAATTTTTTTTTTAACTATATATTTTTTTTGTTGTAAATCGTGGTACAACCCTCTCTCAACTTTTTAACTCCGAAACACGAACCTTGACAAGCTAGGCCGCTGCGCGGAGAAATTAAGTTGAGCGCGGTACTTCCAGGGACTTCCAAATTAGATGTTCGTCAATAAATAAAGATATGCAAGTTAACGTTTATTAAAAAAAATAGTACGTCATGCCCTGGGATAAAAAATAGTTGGCAAATGCGACTGTTTCAAGATTATTGTAATTCTTTTTTTTAGTAAATAATTTCTTTATTAGAAATTATATTTCCATCATAAAATGTTTTTTTAATTTTTTTTTGATAGCTTCTGTACTCATTTTGCCTAATCTGAATATTTTTTTTAATGATTGCTTTTATTAAGTTGCCTTAAAGTACTAAGGAAATTTTGTTTAATTGTAATTATGGAATCAATTCAATTAAAAATCGCGTTTACATTTGCTTTGTTTTTTTTTTTTTATTGCATTTTTTAAACTCGCTAATTATCAAAACTTGCAAAGAGCTATGGTCAAGTTGTTCAAACAAAGAATTATATGCATGGTCATATAAAGCGTCCAATCGCACGCCTCTTACGAAAAGGCCTGTCAGATTTTCTGTCAGATTTTCTTGCTACTGGTAACATGTAACCCAGTACAACCTGCTTTATGTCCTGCTGCTTTGTTGGATATAAATTTGACGTCTCCTGGCCTTTACTTAAAGGCCAGGAGACGTCAAATTTATATCCAGGAGAAGCCAAATTCAACTTAAAACACCTCTTGCCTTGGGGCTCTTGGTTGAAAAGGGTCTCACTTCTGCTACAGCATGGGGCTCTCAATGGCTGGTGAACTTTTACTCAGATAAAACACACTTTTTTTCATTTTACAATCACAATAATCTCAATTATTGCAATAATCTAGATCTTTCTATATTTATGAACAGTAATATACTCAATGAGTCATTACCTTTCATTTTCTATAATTAATTCTTACATCCAATCTTTCTTGGAAACTATATATCAAATCCATTGTAAAATTAGCATCTGCTAAGGTTGCATCTTTTTATTGTGTTTGCCACTTTTTTACTCTTGATTATATTCTTTATCTCTATAAATCTCAAATCTGTCCTTGTATAGAATACTGCTACCATATCTGGGGCGGATCTTCCAATAATGCCCTATCTCTTTTAAACAAGGTACAAAATTATATTGTAAACATAGTTGGACCTGCTTTTGCAGCCAATTTCCAACCATTATCACATAGTCATAATGTTGCTTCTCATTCTCTTTTCTATAACTTCTTTAATGGGCACTGCTCTAAAGAGCTAGTGTCTCTTGTGCCATCTACAAAACATTATTCACATGTTATTTATCATTCAATTAAGTCTCATTTTTTTTCTGTGACTTTATTCTTTTTCCTAAGTGCTCCAAACATTCTTATTCTTCATACTTTGAAGCAAACTGCAGCATCGTGCACCTAATCGCTTCTGAACGTGACCAACACATTTTAATTTTTCGATTGTTATTTTTTCGCCATATGGTTTAGAAGACTTGACTTCATTAAAAGATGATGTTTCACCATCACGAATATATGAAGTGTAACGCAAACCATAATTTTTTATTGATTGAGAAAACATTAAAACAGCACCTGCAGCCTCCATAAAACCTGAAGATTTTTTGTGGTTTGCTTGGCAGACTTGATTTGTTTGCCAGTTCAGGTACCCTGGTTTGTTTTCCCTTTCCACATAGCACATCTTTTACAATAACTGGATAAAACTGCGGTGTCTAAAAACTTTCCATTTTCTCTTGAAATTAAAGTTACAACACCATTCATTGACGAAAGCCATGTTATTCGTCAATGATATGTAATTTATTATTTATTAATTGATATCCAGGAAATGATAATGGTGTTGGCATGTTCATAATGTGAGCAAATGTATGGATTCCATGATAACCTTGACCAATCTCATGTAAAGCTATAACCATTTGATAATTAATGCAGCTTACAGCTTTTCCTAAAGTAAGTTTATTTGTTTTCTGTGAGCTATCAAAATCATATTTCCAGTCACAATTTGTGCAATTCAAAAATAGAAGATAAGAAAATCGCTTTCTTGTATGGAGATTGTTTGATAAAGTTACTGTTTTCCTACATTTAGGACAAAAAATAAATTTTACAAGCTTGTTCTGAAGAATTGAAAAGTTTATTAGAATGTTATAATCATCGTTGTTACTAAATGAACTACTGCATTTTTTGTTTCTAAGTTTTCTTTCACTTGAACAAGGTTTTTCGATTTGCATGGTTTTATCATCAAGCTTGTTATTTTTTGTAAATCTGTTACCTTTAAACTTAATCTTTTTCTTTGCTTTTAAAGACTTTCGCATTCATAAAAACCAACTAATATACTTAATAAATGTTTTTATAATTCTAAATAAAATAAATAAATAAGGAACAGCACCAAACAATCAATTATTGTATTTGTAGTTTGGTGTCTGCTTCACTTTAAAATTTGAAACTTGCAGTCGTGATTTAATAAAAATAATTTGGTTTAGCTAATGGATTTATGACATTTTATCAAAAAAACTTATTTTTAAGATTCAATGTGACCCCCTTTTTAAAAACATGGATATATTACTAAATTTTTCGGCAAAACCAAATCTTGCTTGGCATTGCTAAGGGATTAAAATTATACCTGGTTTTTTAAAAACCTTATATCTCCTAATACTATTAAAAAAACATATCAAAGTTATACATCTTTGTATAACTTTGTTAGTTATAACAATATTTTTTTATTTAAAGATATTTTATTTAAAAGACTTACAATAGTTTCTAATATGTTTTTGAATCGAATTACAATGAGGTATTTTAAAATTCGCAACTGACGGGATTAAACTTTTAACGATGTAAATATCTTTTTTAATAAAGTTACATTAATTCAGGTTAAGCTTTTCCATTACGCATCAAAATCTTATAACAAGGTCTATATATATATATATATATATATATATATATATATATATATATATATATATATATATATATATATATATATATATATATATATATATATATATATATATATATATATATATATATATATATATATATATATATATATATATATATATAGATATATATATATATATATATATATAGATATATATATATATATATATATATATATATATATATATATATATATATATATATATATATATATATATATATATAGATATATATATATATATATATATATATATATATATATATATATATATATATAGATATAGATATATATATATATATAGATATATATATATATATATTATATAATAGCAAAAAAAAAAAAAGAAACTTAAACTCAAGCATCAAAAAATTGTTACACTTACAAAATCCAAGAATTCAATTTCAAGGGATTCTCTCTTTTTTTTTTTTTTATGGTAGTTGGTATTAAGTGTGGTTGTTTTTTTTTGCTTCTAATTAAATATACTGTGGCAATCCTTGCAGTGTTCTGTGGCTCCAGAAGCATGCCAATTGCCTTTCATGCTATTTACTTGATGCTCAATACTTCTTTGTTTAATTTTCTTTTTTGTTTCTCTATTTTAAATGCCACTGCAATAACATGTAAGCTTATACACACCTGGATTGCTGTTTAGTAAAAATTTAAATTTGTTATTACATAAAATTTATAATAAAAATGTTTGTCAAAAATGGCCATAAAAGATCAGAGAACTTAAAACAAAAAATCTCAAAATCAAAAACAATCCTGATGATGTAGTTGTTGATAAAACATGGTTACTTAACAATAAAACTCCAACGGATTCCAAGACTAGGATCAAAATTAAGGAAACAGCTTAACAATGCTAACTTTTAAAATAAATTTATGTAATAACAAATATTTTTACCAAATAGCAATCTGAGTGTGTATAAGCTTATGTGTTCATGCAGTGGTGCTTATATTGGGGGAAATAAAAAAGAAAATTATACAAATAATTATTGAGCAGGTAAACATCATAAAAGGCAATTGGCATACTTCTAGAGCCACAGAGCACTGCAAGGATTGCAATAGTATATTTAATTAGGTGCACCCCAAAACAATCGCACTTAAGTATTAAATCAAATTATTAGCAAAAAATATATTCTATAAATTTTTCTTTTTTAAAACCTTTTTATTGCCAAAATTTTCCAAAATTAAAAAAGAAAAGAAATACTAACAGTTTGTTTATATGTTTGTGTTTTTAGGTGTCACCTGATGATGTTATTTTGTCAATTGGTAAATCGATTCAAGGAATTCATAAGCTTGCAGTTCACAAATCAAATGGACTTGATGCTGGTGACCTCCACAATTTACAGTAAGGTTTTATTTATTCATACAAATATTAATATGGATTTCTATTTACTCTGGCAAATGTTGATTTATTTTCTTAGTAATGCCATGTTGACTTAATTTTGATACTATTGTTTTATATATTTTGAAAGTACATATATTAATATTATTAAATTTCACTTAAATAATTTTGTGATGTTGTGTAATTGAGAGCGCACACACTTTGCGTTTTACACTCTACATCAGATTTTTCACTGTCTTTGGCTGGACATTTTTGGTAGATCTAATCTATTTATTTTTAAATTCTTGAATGTTTTAAGCTTCTTTTACTTTGAACCTTAATTTTCCTTTGATAATAGCCCAGTATCTTTTGATAGGACATAGTTCGAGACAATTTGGTAGATTGTGGCTTTTTTCATCAAAATCTACTTTATTTTTTTTAAGCCAGTTTAAAGTAATATACTAAATTGGGCCAAAATAAAGGATTATCTGCATGAGACTTTAAAAATGGTAATTCTTAAGGAATTCTTTGATGTATGTTTCAGTGTTAATTGTTCCCCTAGTCATAAAGCAATTATTTACTTTCACCAAATTCACAAATAGCTTGCTAAACTAAGAATTTTATACAGAATTTTGCATTCCAAAGCATTTATATTTAGAATTCAGTTTCTTGCAAATACTAAATAATATTAGTGCCTTGGAAGAGATCGGAATAAGTTTCATCATCAAAAACTAAACAAGATTTTAAAGCAAATAATTTTTTATAGAGCAGCTATGAACAGCAAATGGCAACATTTCTTGTTTTTCTTCATGATAAGTAATTTTTTTCTATTTAGATTTATAACCACAATTTTTCTTCTCTCTTTGTAGTGGAAGCACTTGTCTATAAAAATATATTTTAACCAATGTTGTTCAACGCATTTAGAAGCCATTTTGTTTATAATGTTTTTATTACTTATCAACAAACTCAACGTTTTTACAAAAAAATTGTTCACTATATATAGCATTTAAAAATACAACTTGTGACTCTTGTTAACAATTAATAGTCATTATACAAAGCGTTATAATAATAAAAATAGACAGCGTGTGACTTTTGTCAATAATTAGCAAAGCTAATTATTGACAAAGTTTTGTAACTATGAATTGCCATTGTTATGTTATTATAAAAGGAAATATTAGTTAAAGGTGTCATGTTTTTGTTTATGAAAATAATTTTCACAGGTCAACAAATTATTTTCATTTTTTAGTTAGAGAAAAAGAAAAAGCTGAAAGAATGGCTACATAGTTTTTTTGTGTATTTTCTTGCAATCATATACATGATTGCCCAATCTATCTTTTGAATTGCCAGTTTTGCAACTGGAAATATGTCCATTTGTGCGGTTTCTTAAATTGTTTGTTTTTCCAGTATAAGTAGATAGGCCATTACATGATAAGCATTTTAGATAATAAATGATTTTTTTTCTATTACATGTAATGTGACTTAATGTTCTAAATATTGCAATTGGATGTCTTATACAAATAGTGCAATATCTCAAACATATCTACTTCTTGTAAATATAACCAGCAGATTTTACATTGACTGTTTTTGCATTTGAATAGTCCCATTTTTTTTGATGATGGCATAGAGTGAAACTTTAAGCATGTTGTTTGTCTGAATAAGTTTGGTGGTTGTTTGTAGGCAATTACTAGTTGAATACTTGAATAAACTTATTTTAATCTTTCATTATCAGATAAACTAAGTAAAAGGTTAGCTTCAATTAAAATTGGTCTACAGTTTAAATTACTATAGAAGTTAGTCACCAAAGGAAAAACTTTTTTTGATTGTTTTATTGACGCAGGCCCTTGTAACTCTGCATTATGAAATGCTTTTGCTATTACATAATCAGGGTAATGACAGTTTAACCATAATTTAATTCATAATTTTAACCATTTTTTAACTTCTGGCAGACAGTTTTTCTGTAGCTTAATCAAACGTAAAAACTATTATTTTAGCAAGGTTATAAGGTATGATCTTTTTATATGATACGGATGATGACTGATGAAATTTAAATGTCTTCATAAAAAATATCAGTTTTAATGTATTTGTTGTTTTCAAGGATAACCGATATGTCTAGAAAATTAACTGCATTATATATTTTTTTGTTCTCTTTGAATTCAATGCCAAAATCAATTTTTGAATTATTTGAATCATGTAATTCTGTAAGGGACGTTTGGAACTTAGCAATATATAGGCATTTTGACAATATGTTGAAACCATCATCAACATATCTAAAATAAAACTTTTCAATAGTTTTAACTTCTTTTGAAAATTATTTTGGTAAAATTTTTGGAAAAAGCATTGGTTCTTTTAAAAAGTCGATTGTAAGACAAACATAGTCTGGTACACAAAATCTGTGCCCATGGCTGAGACTTGGACAGGAATGGCGTGCGATCGAGCGCTATTGGTGACCATGCAAATGATTTTATTTTTTGACAACTTGACCACGATTGTTTATATGTTTTGATGATTTAAAAATTTCAGAAATACGCTGAATGTAGAAACGCTAAGCTAAACTTAAACTAGGAAAAAAAAATTCTAACAAAAAACAAGCCTTCCCAGGAAAGGCATGTGGTTTTTCATCTTGTATGACCACACGCAAATATTTTATTTTAGATAACTTGGTCACAGCCATTTGCAAGTTTTATTATATGCGCTGCTGACAAAAGTTTTAAAAATAAAGAAAAATTCTTTCCAATAATAATGGTTTAAAAGATTTTTAGGAAGACAATGAAAAATAGTTTCAAGCATTTAAATTTATTATAAAAAGCAAAATAACAAAATAGGAATTTAAAATAAACTAACAATATAGGAATTTAATTAAATTAACAATATAGAAATTAAAATAAACAACAAAATAGGAATTTAAAAGAATAATAACAATAACTTAAATAATTTGTGTACTGTTTTTATTTTTGTTTCTTCATAGTGATTATTATTTTCGACAACAAAATTTGGTAAGTCAAAGCAAAAAAAAAAAAAAAAAATAGTTTTAAACATTAAAAAGAATGATTTTCCTATATTTTTTTTTTTTTTTTTTTTATATAAAGAGGAAAGCTAAAATATAAATTGTCACCTGTTTGTAAAATATGTTTATATAAGTTTAATGTAACAAGTATATATCAAGGGTTGAATCAAGCAGAAAAATATCTGATCTTCAAAATTTTAGTTTTTGCAAAGCTGTGTACTTTGTTTTCAAGGGGCAAATTATTATAATTTTGTTAGCAAGAAAATTATAAAAACAAAACAAACAATAATCTTACGACTGCAAAAGTAATAATACTTTAGTCACTAACTGCATTATAAAAGTAATAAAACTATAATAGTGTTATTACTTTTATAAAGCACTTATTACTTTTAAAGTTAATTCTTTCTTCAAACAACATTAGAAATTCCAAACAATTAAAGTAGAAAAGCATTTAGAAAAAATAAAGCGGATATTCAAATATAAAAAGCTTGAGGAATTTTTACAAATCACTTAAACAACTTTATAAAAACGCACTTTATAAAAAGTCAAGCATTATGAAAAATGTCACTAATAGTCTGTATAAAGGCGCGTTAATTTTAAAATCAACTAATAAAAAATTTTGTTTAGTTGATTTGAAAATTAACGCAGGTTTTTACGGACCATTAGTAATGTTTTTAATAATGGTAAACTTTTTATACATTACGTTTTGATAAAGTTGTGTGTTACGTTTTTATAAGTTACTTAAGTTTTAAATATTATTTAAATATTCACTATATTTTACTACTATGCTTTTCTACTTCAATTAAAATTTGGGAGAACTTATCTTATTTGAACAAAAAATGAATTATAAAAGTTATAAGTGCGTTGTAAAAGTAATAACACTATTATAATGTTATTACTTTTATAATGCAGTTAGTTACTAGAGTGTTACTACTTTTGTATTTGTAAGTTTTATTTTTTATAACTTTTTCGCTAGCAAATTAAAGTTTATTGGCTCCTTGAAAATAAAGAACATGTTTTTGTTTAAACTAAAATTTTGAAGACCAGATATTTTTCCAGATTTTGCATTTCATGATCACTTAATTCAACTTTTGTTGTTATATAAATATATTTTACAAACATATTGCAATATATATTTTCGCTTTCCTCTTTAAAAAAAAATTAAATAAAGAAAAATCATTCTTTTTATTGTAGACTTGAAACTTTTTTTTTTTTTTAGTTCACCTTATCTAATTTTGTTGCTAAATGTAACAACCATACTAAAGAAACAAAAATAAAAATAGCACACAAATTAATTTATTTTTATTTTTTTCTATTTAAATTTCTTTTTATTTCCTATTTTGTAGTGTTGTTTTTTTTGTTTTAAAAACTTTTTCCGCCATGATTAATATTATAAAACTTGCAAACAGCTGTGACCAAGTTGTCTAAAATAAAATACTTGCATTTGGTCATACAAGACGAAAAACCACATGCCTTTCCTAAGAAGGCTTGAAAAAAGAAACAAAAAAAAAAAATTCTCATTATAAAGAAATTAGATGAGCACTAAAAAAAAAAAAAAAAACTTTTTGTAACAATTTTAATTACGTTTAAAATAAATGTTATTAACTTTTTATTAAAGTTTTTATTAAAGTTTTATTAAACTTTTTATTAAAGTTACGCAAAATGCTTTTAAATCAACTAACAAATTACTACTAATGATTGTTTAATAAATAGACAAATTTTATTAAATTTAATAAAAAGTATTGTATATAATACTTTTAAATTGTATAAACATTTATTTTTTCAAAAAAGTTACAAAAAAAAAATAAAAATAAATAAATAAATAACGTAGTCTTTTTAAAGTAATAATTTTTAATAATTTCAAGCTCTAATTAGTAAGTCTAGTTTAAAAAAAAACTTTTATATTTGAAAAAATTGGAAAAAAAAAAAATTAAATAAAATGCGCTTGCAATTTAAATGAAATAAAGGATTCTAATTTAATTTTCATTTGAACATTACAACTTTAATAATAAGTGCTTCAAGTAAAAATTACTTTAAAAGATTTAAACTCATTCATATTGTAATTAAATAAAAAATGCTTTAAAACTTTTTCATTAATTAATAAAATACATTCTTATATAAATAAATAAAGTTATTTTTTATTCTTGTAACATTCATATAAAATGTGTAAAAGCTAGTAGTCACAAAAGGTTTTGAACTTATTCATTAATTAAAGTAACATTAAAAAAATTCTTTCCAATAGTAATGGTTTAAAAGATTTTTAGGAAGACAATGAAAAATAGTTTCAAGCATTTAAATTTATTATAAAAAGTACATGCCTACATAAAAAAAATTTTTATATAACATATTTTATTAATTTACACAAGCGTTTATGTAAACAATCATTATGATTAATTTTTATGGTTTTATTTAAAGCCTTCACGTAAAATAAAAACTTTAGAAAAGATCAACGATTAAAGTTATTCATAACATAATACTTTTATTATTGCATTTAAATTGTTAAAACATCAAAATAGCTGTGGTCAAGTTGAAAAAAAAAAATATTAGCGTGGTCAGTTACAGAGTGCGATCGCACGCCATTCCTGTCCAAGCATGATGGCTGTTTCTGTAATTTGGCAAAATAATTGATTGTCAAAGTTGTTATTAAGAATGAAAGAAGCTGAATTATATGATCAGTGGTGAATCTTTTGGCTATTAGATTTTTATGTTTTTCAACCCAAAATACTTGTAAACCAAGATTATGTGGAATGTTTGTGTAGAGATTCACAATGTCACAAGTTAGTATAACACTATCTGAATCCATTATTCTAGGAATTTAGAAAAATCCCAGTCATCTTTTACAAAAGTCTTCTGTTTCTTTACAATAGAAGATAGGATTATGTGAAGAAATGGGCTTAGATGCAATGTTGGTGAATCTATTCCAGATACCTTTTAAATCTTTTGGTGGTTTCATTTCAATAGAGAGCTAGATTCTTCAACCTTTTTAACAATTTTATTACATTTATGAATTTTAGAGAGAACATAAAAAGTACAAGATTTCCATTCAAAATTGGTGATGCAGTCAATTTCGTTTTGTGTTATTTATGTTTTGCAATCATTTTTGAAAGATTTAAAAAAACTTTTTTGTCAGAGTCAATATTTGTTTTTTATGTTAAAGAAAATAGGTGATCTTGATAGTATGGTGTTGATAGTATGTTAAACCCATTATAATTAAGATTTTACCTTTTATCTGATTTTTTAATAATGATATCTTTCATTTCTTTGAGTTCTTTTATAGCAATCTTTTTCTGTATTGAAATGTTGTCAACTGATTAAATTTTTATTGGATTTACTTGTTCAATTCTTAAAATTATTTCATCAAGTTTAGGTAGATTTGTTTTAACATTATATTTTGATTTTTTTTTTACTATACTAATATTGCTATTGTGTGATTCATAGAGTTTTTCGTGTGAATTGCCTTATGTCCGATTTTATATGTAAAAAATTCCCTTTTGTTGCTGGACAGAATTTGGGTCTTTTTGTCAGAAGTGTTATTTGGGAAGTGGTCAGGTGCTTGGTGGATAAGTTGATGACCTTAGGTTTTATTTTTTTGGTATTATGTTTATCCAGTTTTTTGAAGATAAAATTTCTGATATATGGTATCATTACTAATATAATTTGATAAAAAACTTTCAGCTTTTTAGCTATTTCTCTTTTAAGCAAGGTCCAAAAAACGCATTGTAAATGTAGTTGGACCCACTCTTTCTGCTAAGCTTGAGCCTTTTTTGCTAATGTCCTAATATTGCATCTCTTTTTCTTTTCTACAAATACTATCATGGTCGCTGCTCAAAGGAGCTTTCATCTCTAGTTTCATTAACTAAAACTCATTCTTGCTTGACTTGTCAATCAGCCAAGTCTCATTTGTTTAATTTATCTGTCTCTGCATGCTCTAAAAACTTTTATTTGTCTAGTTTTTTTTTCCAGCGCTTCAACCCTTTAGAACTCTCTCCCATGTTTTCCTGACTCATACAACCTACAACTTTTCAAGTCTTCTGTCAACCTTTAACTTGATCTATAACTCTTTTTTTTCTCTAGTAACTCTTAACTTAATAGTGGTTGCTAGCAGCCTTTTTGGGAGTGAATCAGAATTAAAAAAATAATCAAATTGTAAAAAAAATATACTGCAAAAGATGATAATAGGAGTTAAACTGTTTACTTATGAATTATTAAGAAAATTATATATTTCATAAAATCTCTTTTATATAAAATTAAACCTTGTTGTTTTGAATTGCAAAAAAAAAAAAAAATCATGGAAAACACTATCAACAACTAATTAGAAAAACTATGAAAAGTTAGTTATTCTGATTAGTTATTTAGACAAAATAGATGTTCTCAAATTTTAATATTCTCTAGTTGTAAAGTTACTAATCATTTTATTTTAAAAGTTAGCTAATGTTTTAGTTCTTATAATAGTTTTATTTGTATATACAAGCCTTCCCAGGTAATGGGTGCAATTTTTTGCCTTGTATGTATACGCACAAGTATTTTATTTTAGACTAGGTCACAGCAAAACTAACAAAATAGGAAAATAAAATAAATTTAAACAGAAAAAAATATAATTTAAATAATCTGTGTACTATTTTTGTTTCTTAAGGGTGGTTGTTTCTTAAGGGTGGTTGTTTTTTTTTCAGCAACAAAATTGGTTAAGGCAAAGCAAAAAAAAAAAAAAAGTTTTAAGTTGACATTAAAAATTTTCCTATTTTTTTTTTTTTTTAATTAGGAAAATAAAATATAAGTTGCTATCTGTTTGTAAAATATATTTGTATAATTTTGATGTAACAAGTATATATTGTCCCAATATAAATATGTCTATGTAATGCATCCATACATTTTTATGTATTTCTTTTTTTATTACATAATTATATTTATTTGTTTAATAGTATACGCACATTTAGCTTATTTGAATAAGGTATATACTTCATACACGAAATGTCTGTGGTTGTAGTTGTCTAAAAATAAAATACTCATGCATGGACATAGAAGACAAAAAACGGCTAGTGTTTCCTGGGAAGGCTTGATATATATATAAAAATGTAATTTTAGAAAACTATCCAATAACTCAAAGATAATATCTCAAGGTACTTCTCTTTGGAGCGGTTTTCAAACACCTCAAGGTAGACATTTATCTGGTAATGATCAAAGTTCAGTAAGTGTTCAGGTACCTCAAAAAATAAAATCAGACACAGTAAGAAAAGGCAAATCACCAAAAAGATATTCTGCTCCACAGCCGCCTACTCAATCAAACCCTAATTTGCAACAAAATTTACAAAAATGTAATGAAATAAAAATAAGTACTGAAAATGATAAATCTAATGATATTCATAGAAGTGGGTCTTACAATACTGTTGATTTAGTTTCTAAAGAAAGTAGTACACAAAGCAATACACACACAAAATGTTCTCAAACAACCACCTTATTGGAATCATCGCAACCTATTACAAAACTCCCTGATAGCTCTCAAAGTATATCTGAGAAAGGTTCTCAAAAGAGTTCTGTAAATTCTTTAATTACTTGTAACTCAAATAACTTTTCTTCACCTCAAACTTCATTGGCTAATGCAACTTCAACAGTGGTACCAAATGATCTTGGAAAAAAGCTAGTTGATGGCGTTCGAAGCAAGTAATGTTTTAATTTTTTTTAAATATTTCTTGTTTAAATAATTGAGTAAAATAGAATAATTTTTTACTTTTTTTTTCTTTAGATGCAAAATTAGTTTTAATAAATCCCTAATTGCTGTTCGCTACGTTCTTAACCAATTAGGAAAAGATATTAATTCATTTGAAGAACTTTTTAAAAATATTCAAGCACAAATTGAAGATGATAAATTGGTGAGACTTTTTTTTAAAGGTTGGTATGATATACCATTTACAGGCCTTGTTATGAATAAAAATTGCTTGACGCACTCACATTATATAGTTTTTGACACCATAAAGTTCTTTTTATGTGATTTTCATATTTAACATCATTAACTTTTTTAAGCAAAATTAGTTTAGTTGAATAAAAAACTTAAAACAATGTAGAAATATTATTATGTAATAATTGAATAATTAACTCAAAGCAGTGTAGTTAACAGTGGAGTAGTTTCTTTTTGTAAATATGATCTAGAGACCCCTAGGACTTTCACCCTCCCACCCCATAAAATGCACAACATTTTTTTTAACACTTACCTTTACACAAGCTGAAAAACACTAGACTGCACTAGACCGCACATGTGATCTACTAAATGTGATCTAAATTGCACTCTCATATGTAGATAAAAATTCAGTAGGTGCTAGGCTTTTAATTATAAATGATATCCAATCGTAGATTTTGCTTTAAAAACTGAAGAAGAACAGTTTTAATCATTTAAATCTTGTTAAAATCTTTTTAAAATACTTTTAATGTTATTGTGAAAAGTTATGGAACATTTTATGAAAGAGGAGCGAGCAAATAAGAATTTGAAGGCTGTGAACAAATAAACCCCAAAATATCATCCCTCCTTTACCTCAAATGTGAGGGGAACAAGTTAATAAAATATTTTTTGTACTATTCTCAACTAGACTTACATCCATCCATAAATTTTAAGTTTCATAGTATTATCTCTCAGCCTTCAAAAAATATGACCATATAAAATTTATAAAACCCTCTCAAATTGAGGGGGGTTTAAACTTTATATGGGCATATTTTTTTTCATCTAGAAAATTGTACTTTAAATGTATCAAATGTATTTTTTTTCATTTAAATAACCCTCATAAGATGGAAAACTTGTGAAAAATAGTCATTTCAAACACCCTAATCAATTCAATGTTTTAGACTAAAGCAGAAGAGAGCGCTACACTATGAAATTTTCTAGGCCTCAAACAAATTATGAATTTATGATGAAAATGCTTTGCTACTAAGTGGCCCTGAATAAGGTGTCAGAGAAAAGTCAAAGACTCCAATCAACCTGAGGAGGCCAAGGGGCTCTTGATGTACTAATGTATGATGTATGTCATCATCTAGATTCTTATACATATATAAAAAAAATATGTTAATATAGTTAAACTTTATTGAACGTTACTTGTTTATAATCACAATATCAAAGAAATTAAGTACATAAAATAGATAAAAATCACGAAAATATCTTGACAACCCATGACCACACCTAAAACATGTGTCCCATCTTATTGAAAAACATCAAGACATATCAGGTCCACCACTACTTGACCACTACTAAAATGACCATTCAAGCGGTTCCACCACTACATGACCACTTGTGTGGTTGACAACCTTTGACAAACCTTAAAAAACCACTTGTGACTGCTCTAAAAATGAAATCCTTGGCCCCAAAAACTTCTATAAATATATATCATATGTAATAAACTGTTAACTTTAAATATTCAAAGAAAAAAAAAATCAAACAATAGCTAATTTTTTTACCAGGATTTTATTAAAATTTTTTTTTTTACAAAATAATTAAATTAAGCTTGTGTTATTTTTAATGTTTATACATATTTTTAATGTTTAAAATGAATTTCATTTCCAGTAAATTAAAAGGTGGAATAAAAGCCTTATAGATTTAAACAGTAGATAAATTTCCATTGAAAAAGTAAAATTTGCTTATTGAACATTATATACTAATAATTGCACTAAAATTTAAAAAATTATAATAGATTAAACCTAAACATATAAAGGTTTATATGTATTTTAAAGATTCCACATCTAGCAAAAAAAAAACTTTTCTTGTTGTTTTTAAAATTTTAATTTGATTAGAAAACTAAGCTAAAATTATAAATGGAAAGTGAAAAAAAAAAAGTACCAGTCCTTTTTTTAACATAAAGGTTTTAACATAAAAACAAGATTATCAAAAAATTGCTGACCTCAGACACTTAGGTTGGCAGTTAGTTTAGGTTTGCAGAATTGTTATAAAAACTTTTTAAAAGCTTTTGAATTATATTATTTTTTAATACGAGAAGTGAAATTTAAATGTATAACAAGTATACTAAAATTAAATCCGCATGTGTCATGGAATCTACTGGAGCTATAAAAATTTTAATTTCTAGTAAAAACATTTGCTATTCAAAATACCTTATCCTATAACTGTAATTAGATGTTTAAAGGCGCTATTGAAATGTCCTTGTACTCTACAATTATTATAAATAATATTCTACTTTTAGTATATCCTGATCGAAAAATATTGTATCGAATATATGGAATAAACAACTTATTATATAAAATTATATAAGCAAACTCAGCATGTTTTAATTTTAAATCAAAACTAAAAAATTTACTAAAAACCTTTTTAGACAAATTATATAAGAATAATTATTAGGTACAGTAATTATTCTGCATATAATATTTTGTATAGTAATTATTTTGCATATTAAATAGTTACTAAAAATGCTGTATGTCTGAATTTTTATAATAAAAATTAGAAAGTTTATTTTTAACTTACCTTACATAAGCAAAATAATAAATTATATATACAAATATTATATAATATTTAATTACAATATAAACAATTATTATTATTATTACTTAAAGTATTATTTAGTTTTCAATAGTTTTTTTGTTATTCTAATTTTTAGATGAAAATTCCTCTCCCCTCCTGCTTCCCTGCCTTCCATCACTTCCCCCTCACATTTTTAGCCTTTTCATTATTATCAAACAATGCGTCAATTTCAGATTCAAGGTAACTGTGTTTGTTGCAAATAAAAATGAAGTTACATATTTAAATAGTTCTATAAACTGACACCAAGGTTACCAAAAACAAAGTAACAATTAAATGGAATTTTTAAAGTTGGAATTAAGTTTAGAAATATAGTCAAGACAGAAAGACCAAGACTAAGACCAAGACATTTGGGTTCATGACCAAGACCAAGACTGAATGCTTCAAGACCAAGACCAAAATATCAAAAAAAAAACCCGAGACCAAAACTTTGAAAGTTTTTACAAGACCGGGATCAAGACTGTTAGGAGAATAGCAAATCTTTTTTTTTTTTTTTTTTTAATGTCTAAATAAAAATATTTATATACTTATTTTTCATTTATTTATGCGTTTTTATACGTCAATCAAAAAAAGAATACATAAACAAATAAAAAAATAATAATATAAATAATTTTAAATAAACATAAAAAAAAATTTAAAGATTTTCTTAAAATTATCCTAACATAAAAATCTTCAGTTAAACCAATGCGACAGCCAAAAACTCTCAACAACTCTCGACAGACAAACCAATGCGACAACCAAAAACTCTCATTTGAGAGTGGGAAGTTGCAGCAATCTACGGTTTGTTATTAATAACTAATCCATTCATTGAGTTGGTATTTTTTGTAGAATTTCAGAAAATAAAAGACTATATAAGTCTGAGACCAAGACCAATACTCTAGACTCTAACTGCTTTCAAGACCAAGACTAAAACCAAGACTTCAATACCAATACCAAGACAGTTAAATATGAGGGTAGGCTTCAAGACCAATACCAAGACATTAAATATGAGTCTCGAGGTGTTCGAGACACCAAGACTTTGTTCTTGAGACCAACATCTCTGGTTGAAACTTTTGTCAAAATAGTATCTAGTCTTAAAATAGTATCTAGTTCTTGCTTATGGATCTTATTTAATCTAGACTATTTTTTTGTCTACTCAAGTCCAAATAGATTTATTAGGTTTCAAATCTGGTGATAAATCTGGCCAGGGCAATAAATCTACTTTGTTTTCTTTCATCTATGCTTTGACTTTATGACCTACTTTATGACCCACTACAATTTTTTGTGTTCAATCAGCATGTTTACAAGCAGCTCTAGTGTCTATATAGGTGTATTGGTGATTCCGCCCACATAAATGTCACACACTTGCTTCCATTTTTCAAAAGATCACCCAATTCTTTCTTTGTACCACCCTAATTTTTTGAACTGATCTCTGGTTGTCAACATTGATTTTCTAACAGCTTCATAAACAACAATATTTTTCCTAAGTAAAATGTGTCTAACTGTATTATTTAACTGTATTTGAGGAAAAATGTTTTTCATGAAGCAGTAACTTGATAAAATATGTAACTGTTTTCGCTCTCTTTGATTTTTTATACATTCTGGGTTCTGCATGATGTTGGATGCCAATTATCATTTTAAATGTTTTCAGAGTATTTCTGATGCAATTCTCTGAAATCTTCTAGCTCTTTATGTTACTGATCATGGGACAAATAATAGGTATGAACAATGTCATACCTATTATTTATCACTTGTTTATTATTGGACTTGTTTGCAATAATAAACAATTAAAGTTTCAGTTGCATCACTTACTGTGATATAAAAACTATAGCTAAGTGTTGCAATCGTTCTTATAAACACACATTATGAGTGTAAATAAGAATGAAAACAAATTATTGTTGCCATTTTATTTTTTTAATTTTACCATTAAATTCATATAAACAAAGTTAAGTTTTTTTCTTTATGCTTATTAGAATAATATTAAAAGAAATAATTTTTAAATTTTGGGATGTTTGACTATATATTCTTTTTGCAGAGTGATTATCATGGAAGTTTAGCTGCAGAAGATATGAATCATTTAATTGAAATTCTTGATAAGCTAGTTAAACATAAAGAAGATTCTCAGCAAAGAAACTGGTCAATTCGTGAAGATTTCAGCGATATTCAAAAATTATTGTCTCAACTTATAGAAACTTTGGTAAGTTGTTGTTAATTATTTTACATTGTTAAATTATTGTTTTTTTGTGTGTGGTTTTTATCTGTTGCAGCAACTAAAAGTTATTTTATTTCTTGAAGTGTTTCTGCTCATAACTAATAAATATATAACTAATTTAATGTATATATATGTGTGTGTGTGTGTTTATATATATATATATATATATATATATATATATATATATATATATATATATATATATATATCAGGGCTCGAATTAACGTAAAAAAATCTAATCGCGATTTTTTTGTTGCTCATAACTCCTTCCCCCTCCTCCCCCATGGGGGGGGGGCATTATTTATTTTAACTTATTTATATTAACATACATAATAAGTCTCATTTTTGCATAAGATGTCATAACATTTGCGGTTAGCGGTTGTAAAATAGCTTTAGTTATAGTTTACATTATTACTATTATCATATTGCATTAAATCTAACGGCTGTATTTTTGTAAAATCAATGAACTTGATATTCCTAACCTTCTTTTAATTAATTATTTCATCTATTTTATTTACATATTTTAAACTGTTTAAAACAACTAGAATATTTAATTTTCTATAAATTTTTAACAGTAAAAAAAAATTATTTAAAACTCTAATTTTGAAACAGTTATAAAAAACTATTAAAAATGACGAAAACATTATTTTTGTCGAAAACCTGCTCAACAAACAAGAATGATAATTAAATTCTTATTAAGTCAGTTTTCTTATCTAAGTAACCTTATCAAATTCCAATGATATTTTTATCTATTGCTTTTTCATTCAATGCATTTTTTAATAAAAGTTCACTTTTTTCATTCAATAAAATAAAGCAAAAGAAAAAAATGTGTCTAAATAATAGAATCTTTTACGATCTAATACTTTTTTTGATTGTTAATAGAAAAAGTATTAGAACGTAATCGTAAATATTTTTATCGTTTTGTAATAATTTCACTTGTTTAATGCTTAGAATTTTTCAGGATTTTTACTAACGTAAAAGTATTTTTACGAAGCTAAAAATCATACCCTATTTAAAGTTGTTATTTGATATTTTAATTTTAAGGGGTTACAATGCGCTAAAATAAAATTAAAAATTGTCACAATATTCTTCCTCGCTCTCACTTTCTTCCAAATCTGATATTGTAACTGTCGCTAGATCAATGTCTGTTTTTCCTGACTTTCTTTTTCTTTTTTCCGGATAACGATAAAAATTTGCTGACAATCGTCTAACTTTATCATTATACCATTTGTCCATAGCAGTATCAGGTTCAAATTTGTCAATCTCAGGACCTTTTTCGCTTATCCGAAGTAGAGATTCTAAACGATCTTGTCTAAGACAACTTCTCCAGTCATTTTTTACACGATTCATACATGAAAACATTCGTTCTACCTTCGCATTTGTAAAAGGACAAATTAAAAATAGTTCAAAAATATCAAGAATATTTCAGCATTCTTTGACCAAACTTGATTTGGAAAAAACAATTTTCCAAATTTTCAAATAATACTCATTTTGATTGTTACTTATGATGGGAAACATGTATGCTTTTAAAATGATCCACTCATGAAGTATATTATTCAAATCACATCCTACACCAATTAAAAATTCAGAAAAATGTTCAACAACTTCACCGATAGCTTTATCGTCAAAAGTACCGTCATTCACATTTAACGGCCAGTTATAAACGTCAAGTAAAGCTACCAAATGCATAAACAATGGTGATTTTTGGAGAGATTGAAAACGGCCTTGCATACATATGGTAATATTTGCAATAATTAGTTTGTACTGGTCAAGAACATGGCTATTAACTTCGGTATATTGAGAAAGTGGAATATTTTGATAACATTGCTTTGAATCAATTGTCTCAATATCTTTAGACAGTCTTTTATAATGGGTCATAACACTTGTATCATCAAGAAAATTGTCTAACGAATTTTCTAGAAGAATTTTCAGCTTGGCCATTGTCCATGTAAATTCTTGGACTCTTCTTACAGGTTTTACTAGATCATGAATATTGTTCTGAAAACTTAAACTTAAACGCCGAAGGGGAGATAAAACATCAAGATATATTGATAAATTAATAGGCACAGACGCATTTTTCCATCGCTTTAAAAAACCTTATAACTCTGCTCTCTTTGCTATCTGGGA